TATATATTTAAAGTATCTGTGCTATTTGAGTAAGAATCCCTTGTACTCTGAATTGAATTATATAGGGCACTTTGTAAGGCGCATGATAATCGTGTGTACTGATGCGAGTGACTGACAACAAAATAAGCTGGTATTCACAGCTACAAAGAACGTAGAGAGTATTATTACACTTCTGGCCTGATGTCTTATGGAATTTACTATATATTACGTTATATCACGCATAGCCCAGTACTAGAAAAATTGGTATGCACGGGGTGCTAGTAGTTTAGACTACAAGAAAAAAAGGCGAATGAGCGTGCCTCAAGACAGCTGATGGAATTATGTAGAGATCTCAAAATATACTCGTAAACCGAAAGAAGCCAACGATTCGCCACGGAGAAACTACTTAGCGCATGATCCTACCTCACCATAAGCAGAGGGTAAATTGGAATACAAGTCCACGGAATAATCAGATGGACAATCCCAATTGTGCGAGGGTCATCACTCAAGAACGCAGACTGTGCGCAGCGTTCGGCTACAAATGTATATGTTGGTATCGTTACAATCAAAGTATCACAAATTTCCGTACTAGATAACCTGGATATATCTGTTCACCATCAGCGATGCGATCCTACGCTATGCACTGCACAACGATACACGTCAAACTGTGTACTTCATATTTTGCGAAGTGTGAGAGTGATCATAGACCAGCAACGCCGTTTAATTCCGAAAAAAATACACCAAAATAGACAAACCGTGCGCTCCTGGTACCCCATTGGAAAATTGTCATTGAAATACATATTGAATTGGTGTTTGTTATTCTGTCTCAAACACTAAGAAATTTACTGGTTTATATAGAAACCCACACACACCACTTCTTCTGGCCTGTGTCCCATTTTCGCTCGATATTATCAGGCAGATCATCACTGTGGTCATCTGAAAGCATATAAAAAGTGAGTGAGAAAATATGATTACGATCAGTTCATATGGACCCTCTGTGTACACATATGCACGTATAATGTGAGAACATAAGCTGTGTGGGATACCCATGAAATAGACTTGTGTTATGTTCACATCGATTTGGTCGAAAATCAACTAATATAAAGTAATCTCGCTGCCCATTAATACAAAGCATTTACAGACTTCTGCTAATGCGTATAGAAGGTGGTAGTCACTAATAATAGGAGGTAATTAAGACCACTTCTTCTATCCTCATGCCATTCACTCCCCCTGAGGGCTCGGCCACCCTGCTGTCTCTAGAACATGTTCTCACTTTATTGAGGAGACCGCTCAGTCATCTTCACCCGCCGGTAGGTCTTAGACTATTGTCTAGAGTGTACTTATGACTGCCATGACCCACGAGAGAGTGGGGTTCCCCTGCAGAATTAGGATCACCTAGGCCTCCCCGAAGCAAATTGCAATTAGGCGATTTATGTACCCAAAAAGACAGCACACCACCAGGACATATATAGTGATGAGCTATCCTTGTGGGGATGTGTAGAGACACCCACATGTGCGGTATACAATCGTGAAACTGGACGAAAAAGTATCAAATTTGACCAAAAACTGATTGAATGTATACAGTTTTAATATACCTATATTAACTATTTGTAGAGATAAGTAGGCATCATATCCACGCATGTACAGCTGAATAGGTGGAGAGCTTTACCCAAACAACTTACCAACAATGGTCTGAATGTGCGGTGGCGGAGTGAGGGTAGTACTGTTGTTGATGCCGTTGATATATAGCCTTAGTTCGATGTTTGATGAAAATGGGAACAACATGGATGACTTGAGCGATATGATAGATAGATAGATATAAATACAAAAGAACATTTCGGTTTTTCGTATGTATGCAGTTTTCGTTATATATACACCAAGAAGAAGTCGAACTTCGCGAATTCCTTATGGTTAATGACTTCTGGTTAATGACTTCAAGGGATGTTGTGATGCTGATGGCTGTATTGTACACATCCTTTGTCGGCAGTCAATAAACAAAAGCAACAGCATATAATTAAAATTATGATACACTCTGACAACAAATCATTGGCCTTCAACATAGCTGCTGACAATTTTCAATAGAGCAGATCGCATACGTTCAATACCGGCGAGTACTGTAACATGTGTCTGCCTAGCACATGCAACTAATAAAAAACACTGTCAAGGTAATTCAGACACTAGTAGATATTGAAGTCGCACACGTGCTACCAAATCAAATGATCACATATCCCTGTCGCGAACGTTGATATTACTTATGAACTGCATTCTTCTCGGTATCTGACAGCTTGTGCAGCTCAACCAAACGATTAGGGACGCAAAACAGATACACAGGTAAGGATGTGACTCATTTCTATACTCATCACCGCCGACCGTCAATAGCGTGCCAAGTAAATATTGTTGTCCATATCAGCAGCATACGATGTAATTTACAAACATCAAAGTACTGGTAGTTTGCACATGTAGTTCCCAGGCACGTTTCCACTATTAGGCAAAATACGGTTGCGTAGGTTCATATATACGATAATAACAGGAAGGCAAGTATACAAGGTACCGCCTGTGTTGCTCGTCGTAAGATCGCATACCAATTTCCATTGCCTGACTGCACGCGAGACCAGTTCATCGAGTCCAATTTGGCCCACAGAAGGTGCTCCGCCTCATCCTGTTCATGATCAACACTCATAGTCTCATAACCTGGGAACTTAACGATATATCTGCTCTGGTAAGTATAGTTGATAAGGCAACTTGCTCGTGTTTCGTCAGGTGGAAGCTGTAAATAAATGAATGCGAGTCTGAGAACGGCTCTTTTAAGACACTTTTTCTCGCCGCCAAAAAGCTTATCATTCATCCTTGACTCCATCAGTCCTTTCCATGATGAAAAAAATAAAATAAAATAAAAGGTTGTAGCCTTGTAGGGTTTTGTAAATATATATCTACACACACACATATATGTAAATACATACAAACATCAAATGTTTATAAAGAACGAAAGGACGAGTCTTTTATATGCCAGAGGGCGGTAATAATCAACTGAATTATCATTTATTTGTCCATCCTGTTGGTGATTTAATATTAAAACAGTGATGCATGCTGAAGATAAGAGCGTCAGTCCACTCGGGTACGCTAATAGCGCCCTATCTAAACGCTGGATGTCCCTGTATGCATATAGCGAAGGCACCGCCTTCGAATAACGAGCACTGCTCATTCACCTCCTTTCGATACAAGTCCGGATTCAGATTTTGCTGTGTAATTGCGGATGACATCATGTTTCGGCAGCATTATCAAAGCCGCTTGATCGTTGTCATGCGCCGGAAGTCCCACTTTCGGTTGCACTCTTTCGAAGCCGAATCTTGCTGCAAACAAAACAAAATTTTATACGCCTGAGACAACTAAGACTGAAATACGTTTGAATGATATGTAGTCATCAAGATCAGACAATGTCCTGAAATCACTTCTATGGATATTCTAATAAAAGGCTGCTTTGATATATTATCAAATAAAAGTTACACGAGTGATGTGCAAATGAAAGATGATGTAACAATCGTGTAGCTGACTGAAAGGAAATGACCCTTTTTAAAATGAAACATCGCAAACTCCAGCAATACTGCCATTTCACAGCGTGAGGAAAGAACATCGCTGTTACAACTGTCTGCACATTAGAAAATTCCAATCGTTAACTTCTAGTTGCTTACCGACTAGTGCTGACACAACAATAGAGATTTCCATCATTGCAAATCGCTTTCCTACGCAAGGATGTGCACCTGCCCCAAATCCAGATTGCCCCGGTCTTACCCAATCTGGACCCTTTTGTGCCTCAAATTGGTTTGCTTGTTCAACATATTCTGGGCTGAATTCCGCCCATGCCTCTGGATTGTGACGCTGAGGTTGAATCTCGTCTGGATTTAGATACACGCGCGGGCTGCGCATGGTAGAGAATGGCACGATTAGGTGAGAGCCTGTTAGGATGGTGTATCCATCTGCCGTGGTGAGGGGCTGGATTATCTCTCGGCCATATGACCCTGTGTTGTATCGTCGGACGATCTCGGTGACTACGTGAGTCATGGGGTGTTGAGAGGCTACGAACGTTCCGTCAATTTCGCGAGCAGCTTTAGTGGAATATACCCTGTTGAAAAGTGGATTCGTTGCCGCCAGGAATATGGCCCAAGTCGTCACTCCAAACGACTCACTTATTGTATGAAAACAAGAGAAAGTAAAATAATTAGACATGTTCAGGTGTACGAATTGAACGAATGCTTGCATACTATTTCGAGCCCCGTTTTGGCTTAGCCAATAGCATGGAAAAGGAAAATAATTCGCAACATACCTATCATAAGGTAGTATGTCACGTGTAAGTCAAATAAAAGCTTTCCCAGCGCTTCGCCCATTATCTGCTTTCTATCGCCGTCACAGCGCTTACACAGCATTGATATATAGATTGAAGTGGCGTCAATTTCTTTCTCGTTTATGAATGGGGAGCCCATGACCAAAGCTTCGTCTATGCGTTGTACTATTATCGGACGCATATAATCGTACGAGGTCTTAAATAAATGTCCATGACCATATACTTTCTTTTCAAGGGCAAGCCTGAGAAGCCCAAGTTTACTCAATTTGACGAAGTGGCGCGGATCAGCTTTGTCAAGCAACTCCCAAATCCGAGTAAAATAGTAAATTCGCCCATTTAGTATACAATAATACTAGACTTTAAATAAAGCAAGTTGATTGATATCATTTGACACATCGCTATAATGCCTGTAATATTTGCACCACTCTCTCCGCCAGATGGAATCTGAATACAGAACATAATTTCAAACTCTGTCGTACACGAGCAAAAGAAACGTACTTTTTTACCAACTGTCTTCCGCATGATCGAGTCCAAACACAAAATTCATCGAAAATCTTTCGAGGATGCTGCAAGACCACTTGTGAACGTTGAGAGTTTCGTTAGAGCCTATGAAAATGCAATAAACGATCAGCTTTCCCACCGATATTCATATTTCGATTCCAAAAAGAGTATCCTATCAAAGTTAGCAATCAGTACAACAACAAGATTCTCCTGTGAGTTGCTACTGATACAGTACAACTGCTGTATGGTCTCGACAGTATATGTTTGACAATAAGTTTTCGACAATCAGTACTCGAGATGTGCATTCGTATTTCCCAAAAGAAATGAATTCTGGCCAGTAATTGAAACCAGATGTCTGGACACATACCCAACTTTTCAATCTCTTCTGTAAGCATTTCGTACATAAGGGGTTGGATCATTTGCACTCTACCGGGGTTCAATGCCCGTGATATTTGCTGTAGATATTTATATTGCAGTCGAATGTCAGAAGGTGAGCAAAAAACTGTACCCCGTCTGGGCGTATCGGATATGATGATGACAAAAACGAATGCATTGTGCATATTGTCAAGTATTCGAAAAATTCCTTGTCAAAATTCCTTGTCACATACCGTAGGCAAATAGAAGTCATGTCTTTCTAATGCCCGCGGGACATACGGTAGGAACATGAAAGTTTCCTTTTGTACAAAAGCTAGGATACTGATTTGCTTCTCAGGCGTGATGAGGACAGCAAGCACGAAGACGAGTACAATATTGGTAATTGTGGGCATTGGCAACGCTGAAACAAAATAAACATCAGCCATGTTGCTATCTAGTAGATTACTATAAAGCATAAAAGTGTAAGAAATTTCTTTTACAACTGAAGTTTTATGCGCCATGTATATGTACATTTGAAACCGCATCGAGAATTAAAAGATAAGTCTCTATAAGCGCGCAAATTTCGATGAAGTATCCGTAATACAGATTGGTAGGGTAAAAATTAACGAAAAATCAAAACAGAAAAAGCTTTACAAAATCACTTGGTATATGCTCAAGCTACACTTGTCTTCATTCGTTGTACTGGATTTTGTTTCAAATGACGTACTTTGTCATTTTTAAATTTTATACTTTTATGTATCATAGCCCTGTATATTTTAGAAAAATACGTATATATCTTTTTAAAATAAGGTCTATCGGTACTCGGTAGTTAGAATAACTACATATTTTACACGGAGTGTTTGGTCTACTCTGGTGATATACCCTGTCTAGAAAGAAAGTTAAACATAAATGTCGCTGTGAAAAGTAAAGCAGAGAGAAGTTCCGCGACTTATCTTTCACATCTCTCAAACATCTCGTCAGTTTTCATGATATTTATTTATGATGTGAGGAATCGTAAAGTTTCTATAGAGAGAGACTGAACAGTGTGTACTTTTTATTTTGTGTACCAATTAAAATTTAGGAGACTGGACATTCGATAACCGTATGATACAAAACCAGGGCCTGTGATGAGGGAGAAAGAGAACAGTCCGGTAGAGAGTTGCGAGACGCCGAGAAATGTTCTGTATTTTTGAAAATTTACATTTACATACATACATATTACATACGCGTGTCAAAGAGGCTGTTGCTCCAAAACAGTCTTCAAAAAAGACATTGGAAATTGACGCAGACATATGGGCCAACGGCATGTTATATTTACTGTGACGACATTATGTATTTAAATACAACAGGTCATAAAGTCGTCGGGTCCGCTACTTTAGAGACTGATATTGATGTATAAAATACATTAAAAAAACCAAATGACATGTTGTACATGGCGGTGCGAGATTTCTTCATGGGTGCATGTCGTTGCCGTAAAAATACCAAGTTACCAACCCACTCCCAGGTAATATTTACGCGACCAGTCACCGATGACTCCCACGAGGGCCACGACACCCGACTATGGATGACTCGATGTATTTACTATTTACATACAAGAGAAGAAGTCCACGCCTTAATGAGAGTTTTACTGTTATTAACATTTTGTAAATAAATCAGAAGTTCCAGGAATCAGGATATAATTAATTTCACTGGTTAAAAAATGTTTTTATCGGCCAATCGTTGATAACCTCCAAGTGAACACCAATAGGTAATAGTCTAAATAGTTCGGTACTCGGTATAGTATCAATAGTAGGTAGTGATTGTAGTCGTTGAATGTTTCTTTTTGAAACAAACAAAAAAAACAAAATACATTCCCATTTTTATAGAAATATTTACCATGTGTATTACATAGAAAAATCAAAAACCTAATAAAATTTCAAACATACTTGGCTAAAATTTAATTGATAAATATGTATTAATAATGAGAAATTGATTAAGATTTCAAGGAGTGCATCTTGTTGGTGCCATGTATGAAATTTTGAATTAAGAGCCTGAGGATGAAATGTTGAATTAAGAGCCCTCTCAGGCTGTTAATTCAACATTTCAAATACTATAAATATTTACATACATGTTATATTTGAGGATGCCTATAAAGAGTCAAAGTCAAGTCCATGTGAATAGTTTAGAAAAATAGGAAGTACTCACTTGACACTGCCTCGGTAACTGCATATCATTGAATAACTAAGTCACAACGATATTCAACTCTTATTCTATATTTACCTTCCTGCCATAACACATACGCCCCACTTGGCTCCATCTATAGCAAAAACCTACAACAAAATTGAAATATGCATTCGCATATTACGTATAGCCTACTGGAATCATATATATACATACATGAATACATACATACACACACACACATATATATACGTATATTTTAATATATCTATTCATACACACACACACACACACATATATATATATATATAATATAAACATACATACATAAATATATTCATACATACATACATAAATATATTCATACATACATACACAACATATGTATATATATATACACACACACATATATATATATATACATACATATATATTATAATATATTACGATACATATATATATATATATATACAGATATAGATATAGATATAGATATAGATATAGATATAGATATATATATATACTAAGTAGTATATACTAATATA